ATTTATAATAATGTATATTTGGTTAAATATATGTATATATATATTTAAAAAAAAAGAAATATTTATTGTAAAATTTTTGCATGATTCAGAAAGGTCAGGTATGTAAATGGATAAGATGGTTATAGTACATGTGTATGTTGTTGTGACAATTTAAGATTATAAGTGATATATTTCAGATCTTTATATAAGAAAAAAAAATACAAAAAAAATAAATAAATAATAATAATAATACAGCAGATATCTGCCAAAAGCTTCTGCTATGTGGAGTAAGAAAAGTAGATATATAAAAAAAAAATTATTTAAAAAAATATATAATAATAATATATATATAAATATATATATTATATATATATATTTCGTCCTTTCTCTTTAAGAAAAAAAACCAGACTTAAAAAAATAATAATAATAACAAGATAACAAAGGATTGTATTTAATTCCTAAAGGTTCAGTTTGTTTGTAGTGTTTTTAGTAAAATAAGACTTATATAAATATAAAAATATATATATATAAATATATAAATATATTGCCTGTTTTTCAATATTTCAAACTAGTCTATGTGACTGTGTTGAAATATTTTCTTCAGGTTGTCGCATGACATCAAATGAGAACCTTTTAAATTATTTAAAAAACGAAAAAAAAATTCCAGTGGTGATTGTTAAAAAAAAGGTAAGCAACAAAAGATCTTTAAGAGTGTTTTTTGAAATAAAATAATTGTAAAGCATTGGTTTTACTTCTTTTATATCATTGAGTGTTGTGTTTTCTCCATATTAACTCACATTAACATACGAAAAGATTAATTTTTTTTTTTTTTATTTTAAAGAATTTTTATCAATTAAAAAACGTTTAAAATTTATTTTGGTGTAATTTTTTTAAAGAAAATATGCCGAATAAACTCATTTAAAACACTTTTAAAACGTGGCATCTGATTGGTATTCTGTAATGAACATCGTCTTCTATAGTAAATTAATTCATATTAATATACAAAAAACTTAATTTTTTCATGTTCTATAACGTTTTTCTTAATTAAAAAATGTTTTAAAAGTTATTTTAACATTTTTAAATGTATAATTTTAATTAATTAAAAGAAAATATGGCGAGTAAACTTACTTTAAAAATGTCACTCGATTTCTCATTTTAACTGATGATGATAATTTTTAAACATAAATATAATTATATATAATGAAAAAATTTATTTTTTTCGCTTCAAAAACATCAAAATTTTTTAAATATAATATTATAAAAATATATACATACATATTTTTATTTTATTACATTCAAATGTTTTGCATAAAATGCAGCAAGATGTAGTCATCAAAGTAGGATTACAGCCATTAGTAGAGAAGCTAAAATAACAGAAAAGATAAAGAATTACACACAGAAAAAAACATAAAAATATTGTTATTAAATTCAAAAATAAATATTATAAAATTTCAAATGTAAACAGAGATAGTAACAATTATCATTTTAGAAGATAATAACGAGAAAAGACATTCGCATCGTCGAACATTCTAAGTTTTAATTTGCAAATTAATATTAATATACGTTGCATGATACTAAATAAGAAGTTCTTTCTCCATAAATTTATACTTTTATAAAGATCTGACGTTGAAAATTACATATCTAAAAGTAAAAGATAATGTCTGAAACCATTAGAAGTGTGGAATCTGCCTGTAACCATTCCAGTTGCTATCACTAAATGGCATAATACTGTTGCAATTCTCATTCAGCTTTATTGTATCATTTAGCTTTTCTGATATTACTCGGTTTGGTGAAAATGAATGCTCAGGTCACTGTCCATTTATGATTCTTTTACTTCTTTAAGTCTCCATCTTCATCATTATTTTTATATCTTTTGTAACCGAAGACACAAAATATTGATTAATTTCTCATCAAATTCGTTGTATTTTCTGTAATATTTACTTAATTTTAATTATATTTTTTTCACGTTTAAGTGGAAAAAAATTATAATTTGTATCTCACTTAAAATTATTAAAATTAAACAAATTTCTTTCCTGTAAATGTAGTTATAATTCTGGAAGATTATAAAGAAGTTAAAATATCTAAAAAGAAAAAGAAATACTTTAAAAATTGATAAAATACTCTCCCTTTATTATTATTATTATTATTATATTTTTAATATCATANGTTATCTCGATCGGGGATAAACGTTCGATATAAATAGCTTAGAAATATAGAAATAAGGAAAGCAATAAAGATTAATAACCCATCACTTATTTGGTCTTTATTGTGAGTTTTTGTAGCTGGAAATAGGTAATATCAGAAGACTTAAGCAAACAACATGTTAACTCCTTCAAATCTTCACTCGTAAATCAAGATTATATTTCAAATATAATTAAATTTCTTCATAATATTGTCACTTTAAATTACATCTTTTAGTAATTACACAAATATACAGTATACTGTATGTAATATCGTTTAATATTTGCTTTGATTAATGATAATCTGCTAGTGATGAAGCACGAAGAATGATAAAATATAGAGGTTTTGAACAGGTTTTTTAACATAAAAGACTCTCCGTTTCAAGGAATTTTTCCTGTTTAGGCAAGTTTTCGTTTTATTCAAGTTCGTTTTTGACAAGTTTTACTGTACCTAAAATTTGTTATATATTTTTTATTCATTGGGTTGCAATTTGACAAAATTCTAGACCTATAAATTCCCGTTGTTGTCCGTATCTCTCCTTTCTTAATCTGAAGAACGATGTTTGATAGATGAAAGTCGTGACCAGATAAGGAAAACTTATAGGCAGGAAGCCCCGATTAACTATATAAGAACTTCTGCTCTAGGCCGGAAATCATGTGATTTCAATTCAAAATTTTTTCCACAATGGAGTTACATAGATGACCGGTATGATTCTGTTGTTATTAGGAAAAGTATGATGTACAGGGGCAAGTCACTATTAATTTGAGGTGGAGAGCATATATTTTAAATTAAATAAATTAAAAATTGCTGCCTGGCATTGTGACGATGTCACAATAAATAATTGCTCGTTTTATTTTATATTCGCATACATGTTAAATAAAATTTTATAATTTATATTCGTGTAAACATACTAATTAGTTAATTTTGTTAATTAATACACTGTTTACATATTAAAATTTACATATTATGAGAAAGAAATGAAATTTTAGAACAACAAGATGAATGGAGAAACGAATCCACGACTCTGAGTTTTTTAAATAAACAAACTATCAAAATGTAAATTTTAATATATGAAAAATAAAATTTAACATTTTAAAATAGAGAAATCATTACAAATAGAAAGAAACCGAACTCATTTTAGAATTTTTGGGCTGTAATATTTAAATTGCAGACAAGTACACTCCCCTGTCTGTCTGTCCTTCGCTAATCTCGAGAACACAGTTAGATAGGTGAAAATTAAGACCAAATATAGAAAACTTAGCCCCGATTAACTGTATACAAACTTCCAATCTGAACCGGAAAACATAAAATTTTAAAAATTTAAAAGATGAAGCCCGACATTTTGACGATGGCATAATAAATTATTTATATATTTTTTAATATATAAAGTGTAAAGTTTACTCATTAATTTTTCACATTTATATATTGAAATCATTACAGAAAAATTAACTTAAATTTACATATAATAATTACAAAGTAAAATATTAATTATATTTTTAATTAATTTGAAATATAAAATCAACATTAAAATGATTATTAAAAGTATCCGTAAGAGGGAGAAAGATGGGTAGATGAGAGAGAGTTATTTAAATTTCTTTTAAATGGAAATTAATTAAAGATTTAAGATTTATAGCTAGAAGCTGTTGATCGATTTGCTCTCAATCTTTCAGAACGATTTATTTGTTGATAGTATATTATGTTCATAAAGTGAGAGTCGTGCGTGTGTGTGTGTTTGTCCCTTTACTCCAATGCTTTAAACTTAAAGGTTGACTAATCAATCAGTTGCTAAACTCGTCAGACCATAAAAGGTCTTTACGATCTAATGACTCTAACAATTGCATTTATTAATCACTCTCTCTCACTCTCACACACTACATGCCTGTATATTGATAGCTGAAAATCATTTTTATAACAAATAAAATTAATTTACATTTCTTTTTTAGTTTAAAGTACTTGTAAATGTAGAAAATAAAAAAAATTCCATTATAATTTAAATTATGTTTGTTATAATATGGGATAAGAGGGAAAAAACAATACTTTTTGTTAATTGGGTTGAAAAAATTGTAGACCTGTAAATTCCCACTTCTTTCCATAATCTCGAGAATCGAGTTAGTTAAAAATCGAGATCAGATATGAAAACCTTACGAGCATGAGACCCCGATTAGCTATAGTTATTTCAATTCAAATATTTTCCCCTGAAAGCAGTTACTAGATGACCGACACGACTCTATT